ATATAATATAATATAATATTAATATAATATTAATATAATATAATATAATAATGAATCAGAAGGTGCAACGTGTGCCGTAAACTTGCTGTCTCAAGAAATCAGTTAAATTGTGAAAGTCCGGATGTCAATCGTCTGTTCAGATTGGACAGCGATAAACTGTAGATGAAAAGCTGCAATCTTGTATTGCTTGTTTTCAGTAACTCACTACATTTTACACCGTGTATGTTCTGGTACTGTTTGGGCAGTTTGTCCATTGAATACTTCAATGGGAACAAGATTCTCGTGGAGTGTAAAAAAGCACGGTTGATGTACAGGCTTATTCCATTTACTATGGATTTATAGATTACTGTGGTTTATACATGATGCGGCGTATGAGCGACAAAGGGCGATATGGCTTCATCGATTGTGATTACACCTTCTGGTTTTACTGTTTTATACGTTCTTTCTATGCGTAGTGTATCGTCGTATACCGGATGACTGTGAATACACATGAATTCATGCTGAACCAGCGGCGTGGTAGTTAGACGAGTTAAGCGTTTTTGGATTAAAATCAGAGCCCGCTATTCCTTGGTTTCTATGTCGATGCGTACGGTGCCGATGAGCCCCACTGGAAACCCAACAGCTATTGGTTGCTTCTCTAACTACCTTTGATTAAATGTTTGTACAGGCTTTTTGTAGGTCCAACACGGTATATTTGAAATTCAGGATGATCACATTTTTCTTTCAATCCAGAACTTGGATTGCATACTTTGTAGCCACAGATCCCTGACCAACATTTCGAATCCCACTTGTGATAGAGATTTGGTGCATTTTCTTTGCTGAGTTGAAATGTTGATGAGCTTATGCCGTCAATAGGCTAATGGAAAACGGTGTAGAATATGAGCAGTTTGACCCCTTTCGGATAACTCGCCAATCGGACGGATATTATGAAGGAACTGATTTCTTCTTTTACCTGAATGTCTTGTAGTTGGCTAAAGTTTGTGAAGGCCGTCTACGAACTGGAGCTCCTCCCTTTGTACCCTTTGGAAGCCGTGAAGCTGCCGATTTGGTCAAATCGGAATGCGGGTTCCTTTCTTCACTGAACGTGATGCGGAATCCCGAAAGTGAGTTTGCATGTATTGGTCGGTTTGTGGTTCATGGGTCTTATTCCACACATGGAGATTTCGTTGACGTTGGACTGTAAAATCAGGTTGAGTTTGTCTGTATTCACACATTCCGGAAAGCCTGTTCACGTGGTCTGTTCTCTTATTTCCGTGATAACATAGCCGTTACCGTTAGAAGCAATGCGTTTTCTAGTCAGTCCTCTGCTTCACTGACCGGATGTTTGTACCGTGTTAGTCAGCGGACGCAGATTTTGAATGTATTACTCCTATTCATTTAAATTCATGGCATTCGGCGTGTTGCTTTTCAAAACAGTGTATCCTGATACAGTGAAAACGTTTTCTATGATTTCTTGTTCCTCCACCTATCATTGTTATCGGCGCAAAGTTGTCTACGGTGTAATGACTGCTGTTATTTCCCCGTCTCATTCGAAGGTGGATATGACTCCTTCAAAACTGCTTCCAAGTCAACTGCTGCTGAGAAAGAGAACGAGTTTGATGCTGGCTTTATGGAACGTCGTAAGGATATTATTGCAGAGGTTCAACAAACTAAATTTAAAAACTCATCTGCCGCCGATTCGATTAAAAAACCAGCCTCCATGCGATTTCAGACCGGAGGTTCCAAGTGAGTTCATAATCATTTACGTTTCTGAACGCTTGTTTCTCGCCTTCGTTTCTCCTTCGCGTGTGCGTAGTAACACAGGGGTCAGGATCAGAGCTCCTAATGAATATGTCCGCTGACACATTCTTCTTCTTTTAGCCAAGCCTGTATAACGGTGTTGTATCAGCACCTTAGGATTGCGTTGCGCATGGTAGTCTTTTTTCCATGGTCTAGGCTGAGTTGGCTTCACACAAATTTTGAGGTGGTCGATACCTTTGTTGTTTAGGTGTCGCATGACTTCTGGTTTGGTCTCGCGATAGCCAGATGTGGGGACAAAAGATAACGTTTTCGTGCTCCATAATAGCTTTTTTGGTAACTTCGATGCGTGTGAATCTTTGATGCACTTTGATGCCGTTGGGTCTGGATACCATTTTCTTGCCCCCATTAGACGGGTTTTACCTTTACATACCATCTAGCGTTTTCTATGGTAGCATTTGACTCCATCGTTCCTCTGAGCTGATTTCACCGACCTGTAGTGTAGATTCTCTATCACATTCAGATAGCCGATTGGATGCATCTATAAATGGTGGTCTCTTCTGAGTAGACAGCGGACCGGCTTTTCCGAAGACTTGCTCTTCCCTTGCATTCAATGGTCCATTCCTAATTTTATTGGTCATATTTTATCCTATCAGAATATGGCAAACTCCCAGCAATTCATATCTACGTACGGAGCTATCGGCATTTGGTTGCTAATCCTGTTGGATAGATTGTTGTCGCTCATGATTGAAAGTTTCCTGATCAGCTGTTCTATGTGATTCCACCTTAGGATGCACACCTTTCCGACCTTTTGCCAATAGCCGTTTATTTTCTCCACGCATTCACAGACGACGTCAATCTTTATCATTCCTTCTCTCATGGTCCTTAAGGCGCTGATGCTTACTAATCATAGAAGGAACATGCATTTTCCACTTCAATATTGATCTGGGACACGTCGGGGTGAGATGACTCAATGGTTAGAGCGCTAATTTACTGACTGGAAGGTTGGTGATTCGAATCCGATCTGTGCATTTTGACTTCTCCTGTCTAGGCTTGCGCAACCCGGTAGTATCCCAGTCTTCGTCCTTCCTTCGGGTGGCATGGCAGTTAGGCCCTGATAGGGTATTACAACCGAACGATTATTGTACTTATTATTTATTTGGGGCACGTCAACAACAACCTCCAACCCTTATAATTCCCTTCGTTTATCCTTGTCTTTGTTGTTCCCTACTCAAACTTCACTTTTCGGTTGCAATCGCCACTGTTCTGATTATCATTTTCCTCGACTCACTCTTCCTGAACCCTTGTCTACCAGCGTGATTTCCCGTCCTTTCTTGTTAAATTTCTGGCCACCCGTGCCTGCAAGTGTGCGTTTGTGCGCTTTTTTCTAGTCCGCAGTCTGCTCTACGAGTCTCAATTTCTCTGTAATCTGTAACATCACTTTCCTCCTCGGGATGGGTCTCATGTTATGTTTACCTGCTTGACTGTATTCAGAAGAAACTGCACCTGTCCTGACTCATCTCCGGCGCCGTCGAAATGCGGCTTTTCTTTATCTTTAGCCGCTTTTTCTGCTAGAACCGTTCGTTGTACCTAAACTCTTTCGCCCCTCCATCTCATTTGTCTACTCATACAGCCCTTCCCATCCCTCCGCTGTACAGAAATCGAACCGCTCACTCCAAAACTGGGCTGAGGAACCGTAAGAACCGTGTTCCTCAAAATAACTAGTTTCCGGAACACTCGATCATCTTCTGTGTTCTCGAACTCAGCCACCAGCTTTTTAAACGCTGACTTAACTGTGTTTCCACAATACACCGTGACATACACCTGCATGTATTTCGCTATCTTTCCAGGAAGCCTTCAATCCTGTGCTCTTCTTTCTGTTTAATCTGTGTAATCCTTTTGTACACGTTAATGAGTAACACATTCGAGTGCCTGAAGAACAACTGGATATGATAAAGTATTAAAGTACTTGTATTGTCTTAAGTGCCTTACCAGTCGGATCTTTTGTGGTGCTTCTATTCCAGGTTTGCTGATCTACAGGCTGAGAAGACACAAGCCTATGATGAAGCACTTGCTCAACTTGTTTCTCTAAATTATCCAATGCCTCTAGCCGCGTCCGCCTTGAAGCTGCACAAGGGAGACTACAAAGCCGCCTTGGACTATTTGCTTGCCAAACAGATATCATCAACCAATCTGAACGGGCGAGGGGCAGGACTCAGGTCCACCCGGCGACGAGGTGGTCGCTCCAGTAGAGGTGGTATTTCCGGTCCAGACGAAGAAGATGACCCACGTTTTGACCCGGCAAGTTTGATGATCTTTCAGTCCGTGTTTTTTCGGGCTTTCAATCCAATAAGCGTCTTCAAAAAACACTTGGCTTGAAAATAACTCCACCTTTCTTTCATATTTTTATTTACAAGGTTGCAGCGGCTGCTGCTGCTGGACTGCCCCGTCATTCAGCTGGTCTGACCCGACTTAGTGATTTGCTGCCGGTTACAGTGGCGACTCATGTGAATACGACGGCGCCCTCTGCTTCCAATTCACGCCCTAGCGTTTCTGGTCATACTCCCATTTGCTTACCAGTTGGCTGTCCGATCCTTGCACAAAACATGGCCGGTGAGTACGAAGAAGCCCAGTTGATAGGGCATATCACTTCTCCGGGTGCTAGCGCTTCTGGGGACAAGGTGGTTTTAGTCGTCTACACTCGACGCTCAAACAATGGCCCGCAAGACGAACAAGAGGAGTTGGTACCCCTTAGTCTCATCCGGACACTCAATAGTGAAAAGGTATGTAACGATAGTTTGCTTGAGTTGGATTTCGATTGACTGCATTGTGCCAACATTTCAGTTTACTGTGCAGTTACTTATTTTAGGTTCATCCGGATTTCAGCAAGTATATACTAATGGCAGCAACGACCATTATGGGTGGAATTCTTGAAAATTTCTCTAGGTGTGCAACTCGTATTTCTGGTACAGGAATGGGAGGAAACGACACTACATATCATATCTCACTAAACGGTCGACTAGGCTTATGGCTAAGGGGTACTTCATCTGTGTAGACAAAAGTGTGTTATCTAATAATGGACCAGACCGAGGATAAATGTTTCTTTGTTTTACGTTTGGCTGGTGCACATCCGACCGAATGAACAAAGGGAACAGTAACCGCAAATTATAAATGGATTACAAGGACCCTGACGCTCACACTGCATTACTCCACTCCGAACTATAGTTGTGTGGTGTCCAGTGGAAATTGTGAAAACGTCAGTCGATTGATCTGTGGGTGAAAAAGCCAGAAATACAAAATCTGTCCAATGGTAAACCATTTTACACATAAAATGGCACTATCCACTTTCCGCCAAGTTTTTTTTGTCGCAACACCAACCTATTATAAATCTATCTAGTAGATTGCGGCTGAGTGTTTTTGTTTCGAAGTTTCTAACTTAAAATTTGGAAGCTCTTAAGGTCAAGTTAGGAACAAATGTACACCTCTGTATTTTGAGTTTATTCGGGACAGCTTTCCTGATACCACACAAACGATAAAACTCAACTGGTTTTCCAAGAAAACACCCCTCGTACTATTCATCCCTATCACACTCTAGGGGATCTTTGTGGTTTATTTAGAAGCATACTGTCTACCCTATGTCGAATCACAGACACTTTTACATTCTCGCTTTTCTAGGTGTCCTTGGATATGGTTCCGCCTGCACCACCTCATCGTGCCAGATCGTACAACCCATCCACAATATCGTCAGAAGCCCCAAGCTACAATCCACACTTTGCAGACTCGCAATCAGGACAATTTGATGGGAATCCATCTCGAGGACGCTTCGTTCGTCCTCGAGGAAGAAGTACTGCCACCGGACGCGGCGGACGCCCCCGTCGTTTTGGTGGTGGACGAGGTGGACGCCCACCCTATTAATCGTGCTAGAACATTAACCTAAGCATTTGCGCATATTCTTGTATAAATACGCCTTCTCCGAGCTACTAGTCCCAGAACTTTCTGGATATTGTGCTTATACAGTAGTTGGTATTTCGTGTTACAACGAGAATTGCGTTTTCATACAATTTTCCAACTAATCATCAGTCTGAATTGAATCGCTTATGGTATCTTTTCTACGACCACAGCGCGCTCATTTTTCTCTGGCTACTCACTGCATATAAGTAGCCAGGTGGCTATTTTACATGCACTGAGGCAGATGCAGATCTGCATCGGGATTACATGACCGATTCAACCAAAAATAATTTCTAACGTAGTTGACCAATAACAAGTTGGTTTATTCCAAATTCTGCATAGATTTACTTGCAGCCGCTCAGAAACATTATATTAGGTCGCAACTCCGCGTAGTCACCACGCAGCGGACCCCCACATTAAAAGTAGAAAGAAAAACGTATGCGTCATCTGCGGTCTTTGACAGAAATTCAGAGCGTAAGTAATCGACTTTCGTTTTCAACTAAATCATCGCATTGGATGTCCATCATGTAAATGAAGTCGATGTCTGTCAAGGAACACTGTGCATCTGGTTCACTCTTATTTGGAATCATCAGCAGTTCGCATCTCACGAATCACCAGGAGGAATCGAAGTCGCAGCTGCTCGGTTAGGAGTCCGAAAACGAAACCGACCAGCCGAGTGGTAGGTGATCAGAAGTGTGGTCAACTCGCAGTTTGACCCTATATAGCCACCTATGTTTCTCAGTGGACGGGAAACAGTTGTCCTAGGCTTTTCGGCGCAATGCCGTTCACTGATAGACTCCTTCATCAATATTGTTCATTTCGAGTTGAAGGACAACTTGCTGTGTCTTGGCAGGAGAAGAATCTCCGGAATAAGAACGCCTGGAAGCGAGAAACGAGTACAACAAATATGGTCTCTATGCTAACTTGTTAGATCATCGTTTTGTCCTCAGTAGGTGCCCACTTAGCAAGTGGTTGAGCCCAAAGGCTGTTCGGAGAAGCACGTGTGCAAACCGCCGTTATCACTTCCGTACAACCACCGTATCACTCGGAGTGAGTCCTTTGGCACTCAGTAATGTTGACATGATGTTCCCATCAGACTCGAAGATTGCCTTGCAGAAGTCAGACGTCTTCTGCTCGCAGTGGCCAGGTCTCTGGCACCTACTTTGGTGTGGACACACAAGGTAGCGTCATATATTAACAAGAACCACCCTCGTTTTCTGTAACCGGTGGGAAATTGTATCGGTTTCAAAACCCCATGGGCTGACGCAACCGCCAAGGTAAATTTTCCAGCCGCATTTATTGGTTGGCTTGCAAGCATAAGGCTTGGGTTGCGCGCCAGCCTGTTTTGTATCAGTTCACTGCAATTAGTAAGTTCGCCGCGTGCGAACTATTCAAACTGTGTACAAGGCTCCATTTCCAGTAAAACTTTGAAATGCAGGCGTATTTTTCTGTAAACAAGAGGTGGTCATATTGCGCTGGAAGAAGAGCCTAACACCCTGACAACCGTGTAGCAACATGGTCCTATTATAGAGGAATCATTACGGAACGGTATTCATGTAGAGAGCAAGTCTTAGTATAGTTTGCATCTTTTTAGGATCGGATCTGGGTAGAATTATATGGTTGGCATGGTCAGTGTTTGGAAGCAGATGCCCTAACCCTACTCAATTAAGGCTGGTAGACGATTGCTCGGTTATTACCTTGGTAGAAAGGTGAACAGACGTGGAAACAGTCTTATTCAAATATAGTGGTGAACTTAGGTGATCGCAATTTCCGCCGAGCATAGACGTCCCAGCGAAATCGGTCGCACAGCGCTAACTACCGTCTGGGACGCCACCTTTAACTAAGTTGAAGCCAGCAATTACGCCATCACAGCCTTCTACTGTAACGCCACTATGGTGAAGAATGGTATATTGCATCAACTTTATTCACTGTTGTATGAAGTATGACGTTCATCTAATTACTCAGGTTTGTAAATTACAGTCAACCTTATGACTGCTAGCGCGCATCCGACCGACGGATGTCTAGGAAATTTCAATACACTACCTGATGTCCAGTCAGTAGCTACAAAAGCGCTGGGACCATAAACCGTAGGGCAGATGAGGGGAGCTACTGATTATATTTACTAATAATATTTACAAAAATGTGACTTCATAATTTTCTTTGAACACGTGCTGTGCGGTGAGAAGCAAATCTTTCCCCTGGATTCCTTTATTCTTTGGATTTGAATGCTTGTTCTGCAAACTGAACAACGCAGATTCCCAATAAAACACCTACGATTATTCACAGAAATGAGTATCTCAAGGAATAACACAAATCATGCTACCAAACTCATCCAGTTTGACGAAGATATACGCAAGAGAAAACAAATTATGTTGCAGATATACCGGAATAGTGGAAGCCCGGATGAGCTTATTTGTGGTTGGTCAGGTGACCGTTTATCTGTTCGTCTAGCTTGGCAAGTACGTTTTAAAAGTCTCTTCATCAATCGTCGTCCGTGCGCAAGGGATGAGTAGTGAGCGCACTGATGATGTCACATTGCTCGGTGACGAAACGCATGCAAGATAGTTACCAATTTTGGCGAGCATACCAACAGTCATCTAAGTAACCACTGGTCACATCAAGCATAAGGGCCGCGTTCTGATGTTCTCGTTTGTGGTCTCCGCTGTATTTTTGTCGTGACGTCACTACCCTCGTTTCGAGTTACTCATTTCAGCCCATTCTTAGCTGACCTGTGTTAGCTCAACGCAAATTTAAGCCTGTTAACATCGACTCCCTAACCTGAATACAATAAAGTGCAAATGGTCTCTTCTTTTGGTTAAGATAATCTGGTTGGAATAATTTCGTTTTGTAGGTGAATACCAGCGAAACAGTGTATGACGGTTTCGCTTTCGTCAGGGATTATCTGCAGTGCTCACCTCGTGGGTCACTGGAGTATTTTGAACTAGTGTTCCTCCGGTTACTGCGTGAACAATTACCGTTCAGTCAGGAGTGGCTGATCATTTCTGTGATCAGCTTGTGTTTAGGCAGCACTTTGTGTACCATCATTCCTTTACACAGTTTACATCATGGAACCTGCAATCGTCCGGCTAGCAAGTTGATAATTTCTCAGAAGGAAGACTAGCTCGACATTTTTGAAATTCGCTTTCCTGTCGCTTTCCAAAAAAACCTTTCGTTAGACTGACTGTCTACTGTAGGGTTCATTAGTAATGGATTTCTGGAGATCGTTCCCAAGTAGCGAGCCACGAAAACGGACCAGATTATTTTCTAGGTGGAGCAGGCTTCCTTTTCAGGCGCGCTATTCAAACCCTGATGTCAGCTTTATATGTGCAAGTGTTTGTTTGTGTTACCGTATCTGACAGTGCACGAAAATTCGCTTCACTGAAACATGTAAAACCCATTTCGTTCGAACGGTTAGATGTCATCGTGGGACGAAAGTGCCGCGAACTAATCCATGTGATATCGGCGTCGCTCGAGTCTTTGTTTTTCAATCTCCAGCGCGGCAGATCAAATGACAGATATAATCTGGGCCTGTCAAAAGACGAGCAAGTGTCTGAAGACTGAAAGCATTAGGTCGAAAACGAGCGTGTAGTTGACGGATCCAGGCTTGCGTGTTTTAATGGTGGATTCCAGTGCCTGGGATGTGAGTTTAAAAAGTCCGCTCAGGATGTAAGTCTATTCAAAGCTGAATAGAGAGAAACTGTTAGCGGCTGCGAGTATCTCCGCAAAAGCAAACACTCCCGGCAACTCGTTTTTGTGTTTCGCGTTTCGAGTATCTTTCTTGTGGAATATCTCTAATGGAATAAATGAGCCCGACGACAGCATTTTCTTAGCCAAGCTCGCGAACACTTGGATTTTTTAGTTTAGTGATCAAATCAATCTTTGAACACAACCGATTTAATTTCGAGTAGGGTTAAAAGCATCGTTGGGTTTAAAGAGCCAAGAAGGGTCATATCAGATGATTTGAGCTTCTCTAAAAGGGATGAGACCTAAAGCTCTTATGCTGATTTTAATTTTTATCAGTGTTTATCATGGTTGATACTATCTGACTTCATAGCTCCCAATGCGAAACACAAAAAGAGACCAAGAGTTCACGACATATTTGTGAGGACCAGTGGTAGCGTATGCAGTTTATGTCCACAGGAACGATAAGCTGTCGAACAAAAGTACTTTAACCCCCTCACCAAACATACACTTCCGGAGTATGCTGAAATACATTCTGGGCAACGATATTTATTCGTCCGGGGGGGGGGGGAGTGTTAGGAATTATATTGCAAGTTATCTGTACTGATGGATGTTTTGAGCGGGTTCCACGAGGACTCGAGGAGTGATTGGGTTTAATCTGGGAGTACTGCTCTAAACTTGCTTATTCACCATAGACATCTTTGACTGGAAAGATTTGATGCCACGTGATGTGTCCATTTGAAAATGGAGAACTTTTGCTTGAGTCATTACAACTGATTAATATTCGTTACACATTTCTCAACCCGAAAAAGAACAAAGAAGACCATTCATCACGAAAGCGTATTCTGATAACAACGGAAAAAATTCAATATTTGGATTACTAATAACGTTTGTGTTATTGTGCATTGCCTAGTACGCTTAATCTGTTCGAAGGAATGCTTATTCTAATCGTCTTCCAAGAAAGAACTGTTACATCATTGTTCTTGTCAATGTTGAACTGTTTCCGAGACCGTGGTCGATTCTTTAATGCGCAGAACAGCATATCTCAGGCATACATGAGATAATTAGGTAACACCTGACCATGCCTGGTCTGGTTTTCAGAAACGAGCATGACACCTCGGAAGATAACAAGTCCCCTTGCAGTTATGGCACATGTTTAGTCGTATCACTGTTCCTCATATTTCATCAAAGTCGACTAAAGGTTTTAGCTTTTATGGAACCCCTAACAAATTGAGTATTGAGAAACAACATATACACTCCCCAACTACGTAGTTGTTTGTGGTCACGTCTGCGACAGTAGGCGGATTAGCGCCATGACGTATGATGAATCCAAACTGAAGGTATTCCCAATTGCAATTTCGTTCCGTCCATGCGGCCATTATATGGCTAAAAACCGGGGAGCACTATACAGATGTTTTATCTCTAATGAGAATCATCACCCCTGTTGATTCCTTTCTTCTTTTATTGTACAACGTGATTTCTGTTTTTTATTATTTTGGTTTGCGCCTCTACCACCCTTTTTGTTTTTGACCTGAACAAAAACCGTTCTTTCACCTTGTCATCGGCGTGTTGTTTACATGTGGTTTCGCTAGCTTCCAAACACGTGGCTTTGAATCAGCGTGGATTCTGAGATCGGTTAAGATTTAGCAGTCCCTACACCGGTGTATAGAAGCCGATATAGTCCTACGATTAGAAGTTCGCAAAGTTTTAGAATTTTATCATTGTATTTATAGTACCGCATTCGTAGATAAACCTTCATTTGAACGATTTGGCCTTTAGAGTTTTGTGCGTAA